CCCCTCCCACGAAACGCTCATGAGGGCAGCACACAGGGGTCACAGCCACATTTCGGGGTGCGAGGGACACAATCTCCCAGACGCGGGTCCAGGATTCCCGGGTGCCCGCAGCTCGGGAAGGGCGGCGGAGCCGTTATCAGCTCCGGGATGGATCCGGCCGCGGCCCCGGGGCGCTGGCGCTAACCGGGTTAGGCGGGACGGATGATGGATGGATGGAGGGATGCGGGGTGGATGGATGGATGGGGCCGCCGCCGCTCCCCGCCGCCTCCCCCCGGGCCGGGCAGGGATAAAAAGCGGCGGAGGCGGCGGGGCCGGAGCCGCAGCCCCTCGCCATGAGCAGCCCGGCCGCGCTCCGTGAGGGCTACGAGCGCTTCGACCCCCGCGCGTACCTGCGCAACAATTACCTCCCGCCCCGCGCCGACTTCTCCTCCGAGGAGTTCGTGGTGCCCTGGAAGCTGCGATGCCTGGCCGAGACCTTCGCCAGTGGTGAGGGGAGGGCGGCGGGGAGGTGGGGAAACTGAGGCACGGAGCACCCGCGGCAGCTCCCATCGCCCTGGCGGGTTTTCCCGGTCCCCCGGATGGATGTGGGGCCATCCCCGCGTATTTTCCCCTCTCAGGTGAGATCCGGGGGCAGACGTTGATCGATGTGGGCTCGGGCCCCACCATCTACCAACTGCTGAGCGCCTGCGACCACTTCGAGGAGATCGTGGCCACCGATTACCTGGCGGTGAACCGGGAGGAGCTGGGGCGGTGGGCGCGGGGAGAGCCCGGAGCCTTCGACTGGAGCCCCTTCATCCAGCACGTCTGCAAGATCGAGGGGCGCGGGTAGGGGGGCGCGGGGAGCGTGAGGGGAGCGGGGTGGGCGCAGGGGGACCCCAAGAGGAGGAGGGTGTGGGGTGGTCCAGGCTGAGACCCACGGGATCACAGCCCCACAGCCCTTTGGGCACTGGGGTGGTCCCTGTGGGATTCTGTCCCCAAAATCCATGGGATCGCAGCCCAGCTGATGCACATTTCCACAGATGATCCCTGTGGAATTGTCCCCAAAATCCATGGGATCACAGCTCCGTGTCCTTGCAGATGTTGGGGTGATCCCCAGGGGATCCTGTCCCTTTGTCCCTGTAGGTGTTGGGTTGGCCCCTGTGGGATCCCGGGATTCCTGTAGATTCTGGAACGGGGTTCTGGATCCCACCCCACAGCCCTGCAGGATCCTGTCCCCATATCCCTGTGTGTGCTGGATTGATCCCATCCCCACATCCCTGTGTGTCCCAGGTCGATCCCCACCCAATCCCTACTTCCCTGCACAATTCCTGTACAATCCCAGCACAATTCCATCCTCACATCGCTCTGTGTGTGCCGGGTTTATCTTGCTCCCACATCTTTCCATGTATCATGATCCCGTTCCCACATCTCTCCATGTGCTGGGTTGATCCCATT